CTCAGCCTGTTCCGTGGAGCTTTGAGGCCAGGCATTGACTTCTCCTCTGTAGCTATGACAGTTCTAGATGGCATCTTCTTCCAATCAAAGGCTGTTTAGTCTACACTGTAAAGCTGTTGTTTAGTGTAGCCACCTTCATCTATGATCTTGGCTAGATCTTCTGGACAACCTTCTGCAGCTTCTACATCAGCATTTGTTGCTTCGCCTTGCCCTTTAATGTTATGAGACAGCTTCTTTCCTTCAACCTCAGGAACCAACATCAGCTAGTCACAAACTTTTCTTATGCAGCTTCCCACATCTTTCAGCCTTTATAGAATGGAAGAGAGTTTAGGCCTCACTCTGGATTAAGGTTTCGCTTAAGGGAATGTTGTAGCTGGTTGGATCTTCTATCCAGATCACTCATACTTTCTCCATATCAGCAATAAGTCTGTTCCACTTTCTTATCATTCATGTGTTCACTGGAGTAGCACTTCATAACTTGGCTAATTGTTTGCTGCAACAGGCCTAGTTTTCAGCCTATCTTGGCTTTTGACATGGCTTCCTAACTAAGCCTCATCATTTCTAGCTTTTTATTTAAAGTGAGACACATGTGACTCTTCCTTTAACTTGAGCCTTTAGAGGCCATTGTAGGATTATTAATTGACTTAATTTCCATATTTTTTTTTTTTGTCTCAGGAAAGAGGAAAGTCCAAGAGAGGGAGAGAGACTGGGGAACAGCTGGTCAGTGAAGCAGCTGAAACACACACATTTATTAGGTTTGCCATCTTACACGAACACAGTGTGTGGTGCCATAGACAGTTAGAATAGTAACATCAAAGATCATTGTTGTCACTTTTCATACTACCATAACAGGAATAATAATAATAAAGTTTGAAATCTTGCGAGAATTACCAAAATGTTATAGAGACACAAAGTGAGCACATGTTGTTGGAAAAAGGGCACCAATAGACTTTTTTTGACACAGGGTTGTCACAAACATTCAATTTGTAAAACTCACAATATTCTCAAAGTACAATAAAGCGAAGTGCAATCAAATGAGATGTGCCTGTACCACAAAGAAACCTAAAAGAATAACATCAAATATGACAACACACATAGGTGACATTCAGTATATGTCACATATAAGTATTCTTGTTGTCCTAAAGCATGGGGAAAAAAAGACAACACACTGGCAAAATATAAGTTCCAAGCACTCATAGAAGAAAAAGTAAAAATGGCCAACAACAAATGAAGAATGCTCAGCTGCACCAAAAATGAAAGCAATGCAAGTTAAAATAGGAATGAAATAAAACTTTTTTTACAGTTAAGTTGGCAAGATATTAAATGTTTATAATATCTACTGCATGTTATATTGATTTAAAGAGAAATGTAATGGCTTAAATGTATTCATTTAGATATATTACATAATTCTAAATGTGCTAATAAAACATAGAAAAAAATGGAAATATGTACAGCAAAGCTTATAGGGAATACGTATTTTAAAATCAGGAAAAAAAACAGCATAAAAGTGTAAGTAATTTGAAAAAATATAAATTCTTTAGAAGATCGAATATAACCATATAGGGTGAATTCTTTGTTTGTTTGTTTGTTTTTTGGTCTTACAAAAGGTATTGCTGCTGTAATAAATTACCATAAACTTAGCGACCAAAAAAATCACAAATTCATGGTCTTATAATTCTGTGGGTTGGAAATCTGACATGCACCTCACAGGGCTAAAATCAATTAAGGTGTCTGCAGGGCTTTGCTCCTTTCTGGAGGCCACAGAGGAGCCTTTTCCAACTTCAGAAGGTTGCCCACATTCCTTAGTTGATGGACCCCTGCATCCATCTCCACATCCAACTCTATTCTCTCTGACCATTCTTCCATAGTCACACGTCCCTCTCTTGACAGGAGGATATGTTCTCTGACTTTAGGGGCCCATGTGATCTTACCTCAAGCTCCTTAACTTAATCACATCTTCAAAGTCCCTTTTGCCATATAAAGTAACAGATTATAGGTTCTAGGAGATAAGACATGGACATCTTTGTTTCTCTTGGTACAAAATCCTCAAGAATCTTACGGATCTCCTGCATGTATCATGGGGATTTCCTCCATCAGACATGAAGCTTCCCCACAGATCTTTCCTAGAAATTCACACATCTATTTTTTTTTATACTTTAAGTTCAAGGATATATGTGCAGGTTTGTTACATAGGTAAACATGTGTCATGGGCATTTGTTATACAGATTATTTCATCACCCAGGTATTAAGCCTAATACCCATTAGTTATTTTTCCGGATCCTCTCCCTCTTCCAACCCTTCACCTTCTGATAGGCCTCAGTGTGTGTTGTTCCCCTCTATGTGTCCATGTATTCTCATCATTTCATTACCACTTATAAGTGAGAACATGTGGTGTTCGATTTCTGTTCCTGTATTAGTTTGCTAAGGATAATGGTCTCCAGCTCTATCCATGTCCCTGCAAAGCACATGATCTTATTCTTTTTTTTTATGGCTGCACAGTATTCCATGGTGAATATGAACCACATTTTCTTTATCCAGTCTATCATTGCTGGATATTTAGGTTGATTACATGTCTTTGCTATTGTGAACAGTGCTGCAATAAGCATACATGTGCATGTGTCTTTATAACAGAATGATTTCTATTCCTTTGGATATATACTCAGTAATTGGATTGCTGGGTCAAATAGTATTTCTGTCTTTAGGTCTTTGAGGAATTGCCACAGTGTCTTCCACAACCTTGTCAGTTGTAGTTTACAACTACTGAGCTAGTTTACACTCCCAGCAACAGTGTGTATAAGCATTCCTTTTTCTCCACAACCTTGTCAGTATCTGTTGTTTTTAGACCTTTTAACAGTAGTCATTCTGACTGGTGTGAGATGGTATCTCCTTGTAGTTTTGATTTGGATTTCTCTAACGATCAGTGATGCTGAGCTTTTTTTCATATGATTGCTGGCTGCATGTATGTCTTCTCTTGAGAAGTATCTGTTGATGTCCTTTGCCCACTTTTTAATGGGGTTGTTTTTCTTGTAAATTTGTTTAAGTACCTTATAGATGCTAGATGTTAGATCTTCATCAGATGCATAGTTTGCAAAAATTTTCTCCCAGTCTGTAAGCTGTCTATTCACTCTGATGATAGCTTCTTTTGCTGTGCAGAAACTCTTTAGTTTAATTAGATCCCATTTTTCAATTTTTGCTTTTATTGCAGTTGCTTTCGGCATCTTTGTCATGAACTCTTTGCCCATGTCTATCTCCTGAATGGTATCGCCTAGGTCATCTTCCAGGGTTTTTATAGTTTTGGGTTTTACATTTAATTCTTTAATCTGTCTTGAGATAATTTTTATATATGGTGTAAGGAAGGGGTCCAGTTTCAATTTTCTGTATACAGCTAGCTGATTATCCCAGTACCATTTACTGAATAAGGAAACCTTTTGCCGTTGCTTGTTTTTGTCAGGTTTGTTGAAGATCAGATAGTTGTAGGTGTTTGGACTTATTTCTGGGTTCTCTCTTCTGTTCCACTAGGCTATGTGTCTGTTCTTGTACCAGTACCATGTTGATTTGGTTACTGTATTAGTCCGTTTTCACACTGTTGATAAAGACATACCCAAGCCTGGGTAATTTATACAGGAAAAAGAGTTTAATGGACTTACAGTTCCATGTGGCTGGGGAAGCCTCATAATCATGGTGGAAGACAAGAAGGAGCAAGTCACGTCTTACATGGATGACGGCAGGCAAAGAGACAGAGCTTATGAAGGGAAACTCCCCCTTATAAAACTATCAGATCTCATGAAGACATATTCACTATTATGAGAATAGCACAGGAAAAACCGGCCCCCATAATTCAACTACCTGCCACTGGGTCCCTCCCACAACACTTGGGAATTGTGGGAGATACAATTCAAGATGAGATTTGGGTGGGGACACAGCCAAACCATATCAGTTAATGTAGCCTTGTAGTATGGCTTGAAGTTGGGTAGCATGATGTCTCCAGCTTTGTTCTTTTTGCTTAGGATTGCCTTCGCTATTCAGGCTCTTTTTTGGTTCCATGTGGATTCTAAAATCATATTTTCTAGTTATGTGAGGAAACTCAATGTTAGCTTAATGGCAATAGCATTGAATTTATAAATTGCTTTGGGCAGTATGGCCATTTTAAAATGATATTGATTCTTCCTGTCCATGAACATGGAATGTTTTTCCATTTGTTTGTGTCATCTCTCATTTCTTTGAACAGGGTTTTAGTTCTCCTTGTAGAGATCTTTCACCTCCCTAATTAGCTGTATTCTTAGGTATTTTATTCTTTTTGTAGCAACACACATCTATTTTTGATTTCTGCTGAGATGGCTGAGGGACTCAAGAGTCACATGCCTCATCTCTTCAAATAACTTTTTATGTGAATGAATAATCTGACCTTTCACTACTTCCCAGGGAACTTGCAAAAAGTCTTGCTTGTCTCTACCAAGCACACATCCCTGACAATGAATCTCCTTATTTTATCATGTTTTTTGACCTAGATAGGCTGAGAATTTTATAAATCATCAAGACTTCATTCTTTTTCATTTAGCAGCTCTTCCTTCAATATACCTCTTCCCTCTTGCATTTTACTATAATTGGCAAAAGATACCACAACACACCATGATTACTGTATTTGGAAATCTCCTTAGCTATAGATCCAGAAAGTTCTGCTTTTCACATGAGTACAGGACAGGCCACTATATAATAAGGAGGCCTTTTCCACATCTTTCTTATGTCCTTCTGAGCCCTCACCAATAACACAGTTAATCTCCATATTTTTACTAACAGTCTGCTCATGATGATCCAGGTCTTCTCTAATGCAATATAGACTTTCTCTGTCATGTTATTTACTTCCTTCTCAGCCCTCACTAGCATAGTCTTTAGCATCCATGTTTCTACCAAGAACTACCAAGGGCAATATAGGCATAAAACTCTGGCATTAAAAACATATTTGTAACACCAAAAGCAAGTAAATTCTTATTTATTCTTACTTTTTTTCCTCTTGGGTTTTCCCAAAGTAGAGTTGTTTCCAATATCCACAGTATCTAGAAAATAACAAGTTGTAGTGAGGAAATAGAAATTAATAAATAAAAGTTACAGATTTTAGGACAATTTATACTACAGAAGGCTTGAGTTTATAACTATGTTCAGATAATCATTCCTCTCTTTCTTCTAGAGGAATCAAAAACCTACTGAACTGAGATCTAGGAGTCTAGGATGGGCCCTGGGTCTTCTATCAAAAATACGTGTTGGGCTAAGAAGAGTAGACCTGCTGTCTTTCCTCCTGACAATTAAGTACCAGGATTAGTTGTCTTTTGAGTGTGGCCTTTCTAAGTTGTAGCAAAGTGACACTATTATCTACCAGCAGAAGTTCACTGGGGTATCCTGGGCTTCATGGAAGATTGGGTGTAACTTAATATACTAATGCAATCAACAAGATAACTGCATTTCAAAGAGTATACTTCTATGACATCATCTATGTCTAATCAGCAGAGTCCATCCTCTTAAATAGTACCTTATAGCAATCTCTTGCCTCCCTGCAGTTCCCCAAAGGCTCAGGTGAAGCAAATGCAAAGAATAGGATTCTAAACAGACTGGAGCACCTACCTCCACCCTACTGGGGGTCTGTGGGGCCCACTGAGCCACCCCCATCCCACAGCCCTCAGACAGCCTTACCCATTGTGCCACATGCTTGATCACTTTCCATCTTTACTTCTGGGCCTCCTGGCACCTCTTCTGAGAAACACATGACACAGGAACACTTCTCATTTTCATATGCTGATTGCTCTGCTCCTGGGCCAAAATTGTGATTCATGAAGACTTTCAGTTTGACACAGTGACTCTCTTTTCTGCACCCTTGTTGCTCCCCTTCTTTACTTTTTCCTCTGAAATCTTCTCCTTTCACTGCTCCTCCTTATATTTGATTCTTCCTTTAAGTCTATTTTTTTCTCCTCCTTTTTCTCTTTATCAGAACTCTGTTTCCGTTTTCACTATTTTTAAGTCATAATTACCTGATACATCATCATGTAGCAGGCTAGAAGCGAGCTCTTCTGATTCTCCTTCTTCATTCATTGGGTGATCTTCTAGTTCACCAGACACTAATGAGAAACAAGAAAATTACTGTCCAAGGATCCTGACACAGTGACCAGAGAAGAGTTTTTAGTGCTGTCATACTACAAACTGATATTCTGAGCTAAGATGAACTGTTCTCTGGAAAAAAATATACTTTCTCCAATAATCACATTTGACACTTAACAGAGCCATGCTCTCCCCATGTTATGCACCTCATCCTCCTTTTTTCTACTTTTATTTTCGTACTTGTAGTACTGAGAATAAAGCAAGAAAATTCTCATCATTCCAGAAAATACTACTGTTCTTTGACAATAGTAAAAAGCAACTATTTAAACTCATCCCAATTGGCCATTGACTACTTATATCACTAACCATATTTCTGAAAGCAAGCCCATCAGTGGCAGTTCTACATATCTGAAGTCCAGCTGTCAGCAACAGCCCCCTCCACAAAGCCTGCATTGATGGCCAAATGCTAAATTACTCATAAACACTCCTGTTTCTAAAGGTCTGGGGTCCCTAAACAATATGCTTCCTAAAACTCTATATAAAAATGCAGTTTCCATTTCTATAAAGACTGTGTCTTATAAGCACAGGACCTCCTCCCACCAGATGCCTTGCTTGGCAAGGAATAAATCAGCTTTAAGTTTCAGTTAATGAGTACTAGCCTAGCCCTTCAAAAATTGGAGTTCCTGCCGAGATAATCTTGAAGATTCTTGCTGGGGAGTGTCCTGTGGGGCCCTTGGATCCACAAGCATGAATCTCAGGCCACTGTGTCCATCTCAGGCCATTTTTCTGACCTACTGCCAAGTGAATCTTTCTCAGAAACATCTTGAACCATCTGACTTGTTTCATTGAACTCTTAGTTCTGAATTTATCTTATTTAAAGATGGGCAGGGCATACAGTTAGATAGAATTAGATATTTTGGGTTGGAAGTACACCACTTAGCAAACATTTTCTCAGTTAATGTGCTTATTTATTCACTACTTCATCCACTGTTACCTTTCTTTTGTCTTTTTTTTTTTTTTTTTTTGAGACAGAATTTTGCTCTTGTTGCCCAGGCTGGAGTGCAATGGTACAATCTCGGCTCACTGCAACCTCCACCTCCTGGGTTCAAGTGATTCTCCTGTCTCAGCCTCCCAAAGTAGCTAGGATTACAGGTGCCCACTACCACACCTGCTTAATTTTTGTATTTTTAGTAGAGAGGAGGTTTCACCATGTTGGCCAGGCTGGTCTCGAACTCCTGACCTCAGGTGATCCACTCACCTCGGCCTCCCAAAGTGCTGGGATTATAAGTGTGAGCCACCACACCCGACCTCTTCTGTCTATTTTTAAAAAGTCTTATCTCTGCTGGGCATGGTGGCTGACACCTGTAATAGGTCATATTACAGGCAGATTGCTTGAGCTCAGGAATTCCAGACGATCCTGGGCAACATAGCAAAACTCTACCAAAAAAAGTCTTATTTCATGTGTGTTTGTTCCTGATTTTCCTGTGCTTTCTGAATGTTAGAAGATAGTGATCCAAAGCAAACAGATGGTGGCCAAGGTCTGCTAAGTCCTCAATTCAAGTCAGCCCCCAAAACTAATGGATGTGGGTCCATTGGACAGTAGCCAAACTGTGCAAAGATGTTTGGCCACACTTTATCTTGAGTCCCTCATCAAAACCTTCATGAGGGCACCTAGTGTCTTGTCAATTTGTGAAAGAAAATCATTTTGTTTAGTATGCAATCTGGAGTCAACTACAATCATGTAATTAATCGTATGTTCCCTTTTCAGTTACTGCTTCATTCATGTGGAACACACCATTCACGCTTGTACTGAAACATAGTGGCCTCTTTGCTGTTTGTCATGGGATTGTCTTTGCCAAAGCCATAATCTCCCCCTGACAAAAGTTTCACTTCCTCTGTATACTTTCATCATGATTCTAACTCTTGTACTTTTCTTAATAACTGGCAACATTTTCGCTAAAATGACTCTGGCTTATGATGGGGAAGTTTTGCCATGTCCAAAGTAAGTAACACATTTGACAAGTAGATCTATAAAAGAAGAGAAAAAAGTCACCAAATGTTCCCACGTCTCAACCAGTAACCCGTTACTTTCAGACCATTATCTGAGGAACACTCTTTTCAACAAAACCTCTATAAATGTAATAGGCAGGGATCTATTCTGCAAATGGAACTACCAGATTAAAGGTTCAGAAGAAGGACTAATTTTAGAAGTCCTGGAAAATTCCCTGACACATGATCTATGTATAGTTGACCTGAACATTAGTATACCTACACTATGCATGATTTGAGATCTGCAAGCAATAAACAAAATAGGTATACCTCACTTCCCTGTACCTCCTAACCGGATTACTACGATCTCTTCAGTCTCACCTAAAGCCAAAATTTTTCATGTATTTATATGCAGCTTCGTTTAATGTCTCATTTGATAAATATTATTTGCTTGGGAAAATCAATGGCTCATCTGGACAGTTATTTTCTAGGAATTTCCTTGATGATAGGCAGAATTCTAAGATGGCCCCAAATATTTCTTTCCCTAATCCTGAGGACTGTGAACATGAGATATTACTTCCATAATTGGCAGAGCTGGCCTTAAGAAAGACTAACAGAGTGGATCTTGTCTAACCATATGAGCCTTTTAAGAGCAAGAAGTTTTCTTTAGCCAGCAGCAGAAGCGGAAGTCAGAGATGCAAAGAATGAGAAGGATTCCACACAAGATTGCTGGCTTGAAGATGGAGTGGAGCTCCAGGAGCTAAGAGTGGTCCGTGACCGACAACCAGTAACAAAGCAGTGACCTCAGTTCAACAACCACGAGGAGCTGGATTATGTCAACAACCTGGGTGAGCTTGATTGCAAGATTTTTCTCAGAGCCTTCAGATAAGACTTCAGCTGGGCTGACATCTTAATTTCAGCCTAGGGAGACTCTAAGCAGGGAACTGAGTTGAGCCCACCCACACTTCTGCTGGCAGGACTGTGAGATAACAAGTAGGTATTGTAGTAAGCCACTATATGTGTGGTCATTTGTCATGCAGCAATGAAAAACGAACACAATGAAAACCCTCTTCCAAGTTTTAAATACAACCTAAGAGATACAAAGCTCAGACATGCATCTTCTCCGATCCGAGACATAGGTCACCTCTATTATACTCTACAGATCTGGATATTTCTTTTTTTTTTTTTTTTTTGTCACCCAGGCTGGAGTGCTGTGGCCAGATCTCAGCTCACTGCAAGCTCCGCCTCCCGGGTTCCCGCCATTCTCCTGCCTCAGCCTCCGGAGTAGCTGGGACTACAGGCGCCGCCACCTCGCCCGGCTAGTTTTTTGTATTTTTTAGTAGAGACGGGGTTTCACCGGGTTAGCCAGGATGGTGTCGATCTCCTGACCTTGTGATCCGCCCGTCTCGGCCTCCCAAAGTGCTGGGATTACAGGCTTGAGCCACCGTGCCCGGCCAGATCTGGATATTTCTTAATCTATTCATTGAGTTGGGCAAAAATGGACACAAAACTTTTAAGGAAAAACTCCAATTCTGTAAAACAAACAAAATGAAACAAAACAAAAACTAGGCTATTTTCTCAGCCATAATCTATTGGCTGAGGAAATAATATTATATAAAGAAATGTTACAATGTCTCCAAAGTTTTCCAAGACCAGTGACTAAAGGGAAGATAAGAGGATTTCCAGGATTAACTGAGTCTTGAAGACAATGGCGGTCAATCTTTTCTGAAATACCAGGCCTCCCTACATTTGACCACATCAGATATCTTGGGGCCATTCTCATGGAACACACAAATGGAACAGATCTTCATGATTGTAAAATACTCCTTCATCAATCACCTACACCGAATCCTCTATTATCACATTATCAGGAGACAGGTCTCCTGTCTCCCTTTCTCATTTATCATAATCCTTTTCTTTTATACGTACATAAAAAATAGGCCATGGTTTGTGACCAGCCTGAGCAACATGACCCTCTGAAGGAAGCAGACTGCAACTGCAGGACCCAGGAGACCCTCCCTAAAACTGTGAGGGCCCCAACTGCAGAAGCGGGAAAAGGAGACCCTCCTCTCCCAAACACACCCCCACTGGAGAAGCTGAAGGTCTGTTTGCAGGAGAAGTTTCCAACTTTACCTGGAGCTGAGTCAATCTGAAGAGGTGAGTGAAATACAGGGGTAGAGGAAGCAGCTGAAAGGCCCTGGGAGCTGGCTGGGTCCCCTAGCAGGCCATTCCTGTCTGGCACCACAGGGATGCAACAGGAGAGCAGCAGGGATTAAAACTACACAGGGAGAAGCAAATCTCTAGCTGAACTTTGCAACAATTTGAACAGGAGTGAGAAGCCTCCTGCACCTCTTGTGAGGGTGCAAATCTGGTATGCAGACTCCGCAGGTGGGGAAGAACTAAGCCTTTTTCTTTTGCAGCTGTGAGGCCGATAGCCTGGGGCAGGTTTTCAAGCCTGGAAATGGTCTGGGGGCTGTTGGGGTGGGGCATGGTGGGAGTGAGTCTGGCCCTTTGGTTTGCTTGGGAGCTGGGTGAGGCCTGTGACTGCCAGCTTTCCCCCATTTCCCGGACAACCTGCATGACTCAGCAGAGGCATCCATAATACTCCTAGGTACACAACTCCAGTGACACAGGAATCTCACCCTTACCCCCCATAGCAGCTGCAGCAAGACTTGCCCAAGGAGAGTCTTAGCTCAGACATGGCTAGCCCCTCCCCCACCTGATGGTTCTTCCTTATCCACCCTGGTAGCTGAAGACAAAGGGCACACGATCTTAGGAATTCTAGGGCCTGCCCACCACCGGTTCCTTCCCATAAAACCACAGCTGATATTCTCTGGAAAGCGCCACCTCCTGGCAGTAGGCCAACGAGCACAAAAATAGAGCATTAAAGCACCAAAGCTAAGGACCCCCATGGAGTTCATTGCACCCCTGTCACCTCCAGCAGAACAGGCACTGGTATCCACAGCTGAGAGACCCATAGATGGTTCACATCACAGGACTCTGTGCAGACAACCCCTACCAGGAGCCTGGT